CTATATTCTACCCCACTTTGGCTTTGTCCATGGACCCTTTATACATGTTCCTTGCCTTGACCGTTCCTCTTTCCCCTGTTACCCTCCTCCCTGCTCCCCTCTGGTTACTGTCAATTTGTTCTTTATTTCAATGTGTCTGGTTCTATTTTGCTTGCTTGCTTGTTTATTTTGTCGATTAGGTTCCACTTAAAGGTGAGATCATATGGTATTTGTCTTTCACTGTTTGGCTTATTTCACTTAGCATAAGGCTCCCCAGTTCCATCCATGCTATCTCGAAGGGTAGGAGCTCCTTCTTTCTTTCTGTTTTGAAGCATTCCATGGTGTAAATGTACCATCATTTTTTGATCCACTCATTTACTGATAGGCACTTAGGTTGCTTCCAGCACTTGGCTATTGTAAATTGTGTTGCTATGAACATTGGTAAAAACTATTAAAAGTAATGTTTAGCTCTGGTTGGTGTGGTTCAGTGAGTTGGGCATCAGACTGCAAAGCAAAAGGTTGCCAGTTCCCTTCCCAGTGAGGGCACATGCCTGGATTGCGGGCTAGGTCCCTGTCTCCCTCTTTCTTTCTCCCTCCCTTTCCCTCTCTCTAAAAATAAATAAATAAATAAGATTTAATAAATAATGTTTAGGTTTACTTGTAAACTTCCCACACTCTGACCCTAGAGTTGTATATTAAAAATCTCTTCAAGGAATATTCAGTACTGGAAACTTCCATACTCTGCTATAGATGGAAAAATTATAGTTGCATTGCCACTCATTTAAAAGTACCTTTATTTAGCCCTAGCCAGGTATCTCAGTTGGTTATAGCGTCGTCCCTAGCGGGTTGTATCCCCATCCCAGGTCAAAGCCCATACAGGAATCAACAAATGAATGCATAAATAAGTAGAACAATAAATCAATGTCTCTCTTTCTCTTCCTTCATTTCCCTCTCTTTCCAAAATCAATAAATAAAATTTTAAAAAATAAATAAAGGTACTTTTATTTATTTCAATTACAATTTACTTTCAATATTATTTTGTTAAAAATAAATTTCCCTTGCTGGTTTATGGTTAGTCTCAGGCTCGCACAGACTCCCATTGGCTGGGACGTCCCAAAGCCCACCTCCTGTGCGGAGCTATTTATCTGTCCCTGGCCCCTCAGAGTCTGGAGTCCACTCTCTTCTAATCTAAAGGCAGGGGTGAAGTAAAGCCCATCAATGTCCAGTGATGTTCCAAAGCTCTCCCTCTACTGCATTTCCAAGGCCTAATCTCACTGCCTGTCAGGAGCCTGCAGCAAAGTGGCTCCCTGCAGATCACATCCGATGAGACCGATGGTACTTGAGACCGATGAGTCAGGCCAATGGAGCTTGCATCTTTTTCTCAGTCTGTACATGGTCATCTCTCCTGAAGTGGGTAGCTGAGGGAGGCTATGCCATCGGTTCTCCGAAGGGGCATTCTTCAGGCAGTGGTTTTGGAGAAATGAAAGTGGCAGGTTTTAGAGGACAGGCTCAGGCACACAGAACTGCTGGGGTGGATCCAAGATTCCTTAAGGAGGTGCCCCTCACTTGCACCCTGTTTGGACATTTCTCACCAAACTTGCAATGCCAGAACTCTCCCTCTGTCCCTCAGGTGAGGGCAGCCTGAAGCTCAGTTTGCTCAGCTATAAAATGGGTGGGATTACCAACACAGTTGGAGAGCACTTGAAATTTTGTATGTTTTCCAGACATGTTTCTAAGAATTTTAAATCAACAACAATAAAAGCCAACAACAACTTTAAAATATTTTGAAATTTCTAGATGGATAATTTCCAGAGGGATATCAGAAAACCATAATCAACTAGTTCAGGTTTTAATTTTTGTTTTAATACATGTTGTGCTTGATGGTTTTAATGTGATGATGATGATGATAACCCAAATTACTTCAATGACTTTCATGGCTTGTCAGGTACCTGTGAAGAAGTACCTGGCTAAAGTTGTACCAGTTGGATGGGTTTGGAATGAGTCCTTGAGAAAGCATTGCCCTTCAGTGATCTCTGCCCCCCTCCTTCCATTCTGGATGTCGATTTTTGCTTATTAAAAAATATTTAATTTAGTTTTTAGAGAGAGGGGAAGGGGGAGAGGAAGAGAGGGAGAGAAACAGCAATGTGGGAGAGTAACATTCATCAGTTGCTTCTCCCACACCCCCAACAGAACACCTGGCTCCCAACCCAGGCATGTGCCCTGAGCAGTAATCAACCGGTAATGGAACCGGCAACCTTTTGGTTCACAGGTGTGCTCAACCCACTGAACCACACCAACCAGGGCAGCTCATCTTTTTGTAAATGTTGTGCAACAGAGCCAGGAATCTGTTTTCGAACATTGTCTAAAAATTAACATTTTTAAACAAATTAAATAATATTCAAATGAATTGAAATTTAAAATGCACTACACGGGCCCCTAAATTAATCTTCCTTTTGGTGAGCATTATGGAGCTCCTCATTGAGATTTAACTGGAGTTGTTCCTGACCCCACGTGGTGCCATGGCTCTTGCACTGGGAGATGAGGTGGGGACCAGGGATCCAATTTTAGAAAAGAGAATTTTAAAAATTTTCTAGACAATAAGAATTTGAAAACAATAAAAATGTTTAGAATTATGTTTGAAGCAATTTTTCATCATGCACTTTTAAATTGAAGTATATTTTACATATAATAAAATATACCCATTTCACAGTAGAGTTCAATGAATTTTGCAAATGCATACTGGACTGTCCAGTCACTTCTCAAAGTTCCTTCATGCCCTTCTCAGTCATTCTCCTGCAGTACAACAACTAGTCTGATTTCCTTCACTATAGATTAGTTTTGCCTGGCTTAGAATTTCATACAAATGGAATAATACAGTATTTCTCTTTTGTGTCTGGCCTCTTTCACTTGACCTTATGTCTATAAGGTTCATAGACACATGAAGTAGTTTGTTCCTTTTTGTTGCTCAGTAGTGTGAAAAAAAAAGTGGAGCCACTTTAAAATGGAGTCCAAGCTGCCACCCTGGAAGAACTGTCTTGCATGTCTTATTCCTAAAACCTTTGGAATGTGTAAACTGGTCAAAATAACCTTTGGACAGGACCTAAAGCAGCACTGTACTCCAAATAACCGTTTGCAAAGATAACAAGAAAGCAAATATTATGACTAATGGACTGGAAATTAAAAACATTCTTTCGAATGAACATCACTATGTTAGCTTATCTGCACTTATAAAAATGTCTTTCTATTAATGTAATTGTTCCCCTTCCCTTTCTAATAAATATCCATTGCCTCCTAACCTGAACATTATTTGGGTTTCTGCCTGAATCAGTGCTTTCTAAATAGCTATTCTTTGGATCTCAAACAAATGCTTGTTGCCTCTCACTTTGGCCTTTTAATTTTAGGTTAACAGTAGTATTCCATGATCCCACCCATAGAAGCAATCCATGGAAGTTCCAGTTTCTCCACATTCTCATTGATATGTGCTATTTATTGTCTGTCTTTTTAATTTTAGCCATTGGATGGTAAAGATCCTAATAGAAAAGGGGCAATGGGAAATTGAGGTTATATGGCAGCCCAGTAAGAACTTTTGTTTTTCTCCTTACAGGCAGAGAAAGCACTTTATAAATATAAGTTGAAGCATGTTGAGGTTCCCTGAGGTGACTTTTCTCTGATCCTTCCCACTTTATCACAGAGGGATCCTGAGGCTCCAAACAGGAGACTGTAGTCACTTCAAACACAACAGGCCATTCATATTGTTAGGGAAAGAATTAAAATCTAGTGCCAACACGGTGTATCCTCTCCACAGAGGTAGAAAGAATGAAATAGTTTTATTATTGAAAAGCATTAAACCAGACTGTGATGCGCATCACAAGCAATTCACTAGATTGCAAAGAAAGAAAAACCTTGACCTTTTATACAGCCACAGGGATATAACCCATTACCTGTATTTTCTCAAGAAAGCCAATACCTTGTCCTTAAGAGAACTTTATAGTACCGTTTGCTACATACAGTTCATCTCAAATTCACCTGGTAATTGGGGTAGCTGTATGCCTTTATCCAAAGGAAAAATAAAATACTTGTCTTTGACAAGCAGCTAACTTGCAGCCAGCCGCCTAGATCGAATTCCTACTGAGACTTAGGTAGGGGTACTATCTTCATGTTTACATTTCAAAGAGATGACTTCTAGGTCCTTAAGGACAATACTCTTGGGTTGTAAAACTGTCTGGAGGCTTATTTAGACTTTTAAAAGATTTACATACATCTGAAAGGGGCAGAAAAAACTGACGAGAGAAAGAGAGAGAGAGAGAGGGAGGGAGAGGGAGAGAGAGGGAGTTTTTTTTTTTGTTTTTTTTTAAGGAAATGCTCTAAGAAAGGGAGGGTGACAAGTCTCTTTCACTTTTAACACCAGGTAAAAGTCATCTTTTAAAAAATTGTATTTACCTCTCAATTCCTCCACACATTTCCCTGTGCTTGTGCCACATTCCAGGTCCATACGTCCCTCTCCTCTTCACCTAGGCATATATGACTAGACTCTCAAAATTCTTATCAACTCCATTTCTAACGGAAGCCTCAGAACAGCAGGCTACCCCTTCTAGGGCCAGATCCTCGGCCTGGCCACACTAGAGAACGCTATTATAAAAGGCTATTACTCTCAGAATTGGAAAACGTTGCCGATATTTGACCTGTTTTCCCACCCGTTTCAAATACGGTAAAACTGAAATCCAGGAAAATCCCAAATGGCTACTTAGGGTTCCGAGTCACTGGAACAAAAAGAGCACTTAGGGATTCCCTGCCCAGATTCAGGAACTCCTCAAGTCAGCCCCAAGTGAACGAAAATAGGCCTGCTTTATTCTGCCACGGCACGATTGGGGTTAAAGCCCATTGCACACAGGATTCCTCCTGACTACGCCTGCGCAAATCCGGACCTGTGAATCTACCGTAGACCCTGACGTTTCGGGCAGCCCCTCCTAATCCGGAACGCGACCCATATCCCGTTGGTCCTGCCTTGACAGGCGTGAACCTGCACCAATTAAGATCGAGGGCTGAGTCCTGTGGCGCCAATGGCGAAAGTCTCAGGGGCGGTGGAGACGGACTTTACGAGGAAACAAGAAGACAAGCTCAAGATGGAGGCGACGGCGACCGTTGCCGCCTGACAGGTGAGGGCGGGCCCGGCAGTGTTAGGTTTCTGAAGCGACCGCTGGGCTGGGGCAGAGAACCGGGACCGAAAGTTTAGCAACAGGGTGGCTGCATCTGGGCCCCAGCGCCCCCGGCCCGGAACCGGAGGAGTGGTTTGACCTGGGCGAGACCATCGTCGACCCCTAGGGGTAGCGGTGGATAAAGGTGTAAAGCTTCCGGGGATGGTTTCACCCACCGCTTGTGGTAGTACGCCTGCGCAGAGTTGGAAGGCCTTCGGTAGGCGGGGCCGGGCCGAACGGGTGTTGGGCCCTAGGGTGTTGTGCCAGGATCCCCTCGAAATCTCTTTAGGGTATCTGATGATCCTTCCTTACCAGCAGCGGGAAGTGCGTGGAGACGGGGCTCACCACTTGCTTTCTTATTCTGGATCAGTGTCTGACCCAGTAGGAGAACGTTTGAGGATTCCCCTTTTCTCCTGTTTAACCTCCTCCAGCTTCCTTCCATTATCGTCAGAAATATGTCTGTGACCCCTTCATTAGTCGACAGGGATAATTTTGGAGCCTCCCTGCTTCACCCCCATTCATTTCACCTCAACAATGACGTGATGCACCATTAACCTCCTTTTCCACCTGACAATGTCTGGTGACCACCATTATCTAGTTTTTTTCCCCATTACTATCTCCAGTTACATCTCCCTTTGTTACATCTCCCTTCAGCATAGTGTCTGCTGAGCCTCTGTGAACCCCCATCACAGTCTAGGGACTCCCTTTGGTCAGCTGACAGTGTCTGTGAGCCTGCCATCATTACAGCCCAGGGCTTATGGTTGCCCACAGTGCCCTTAAGAACACTCTGGTGCAATTCCCATTTCTCCCAAATTAAGGGCAGTAGTTGATCCATCCATTCCCCTTCACCCTGACCGTGACTCTTCCCTCCACACAGCATCTGGTAACCCCCTTGTCCATTAAAAAGACAGAACAGACTGTTCATGTCCATTATGTACCTGACACACCCCAGTGCAGTGTGTGCTGACCTCCCCATTAGCCTCCAGCAGAGACTTGTGGACTCCTGTGCCCTCCAGGACAGTGTGTGCTGTCTCTCATTATGTTAAGCCACTCCCACCTAGCCCTGTGTAGAGGTCCTGGCAGAGCTGAGCAGAGGAGGAACTGGATCTACTTCAAGATGTTAACAAGTTTCCTTGGACTGCTCTGTGGAAATTAGGCTACTGGGGGTGATATGGAGCCTGGAGATTGAACTGTTTTTTGTCCCCTGCCACTGTGATTCCAGATTATCATTATTGGATCTCTGAATTCCTCCTCTGTCTTTTAGGAGCCCCATGGCACCTGCCCAGCCCCACTTCAGCCTGTCTTGACAAAGTACTAGGCCCATGGAGCCACCACGGGGCCCCCCTGCCAACGGGGCTGAGCCATCCCGGGGAGTGGGCACTGTTAAAGTATACCTACCCAACAAGCAACGCACAGTGGTGAGTCTGATGGGAGCAAAACTGGCAGGGGTATGGATGGACCCAGTTCTAAATCTTGGATCAGAAGGGTATATTGGCTGGGAGGAGGCTTTTGCCAAAGGATGGGAGAATTGGCTGGGGCCCCTGTTAGCCTCTGACACCCCCACATCTGCACAGGTGACTGTCCGGGATGGCATGAGCGTCTATGACTCTCTAGACAAGGCTCTCAAAGTTCGGGGTCTCAATCAGGATTGCTGCGTGGTCTACCGGCTCATCAAGGGGTAAGTGTGGCATATGACTTGCTTCCGCCTTCCTTCCCCTACCATCTGGTTGTCTAGTCTCCTATCCCCTCCTCAGTGTCTTCTGACTCCTTCATGCTGTTGTGGAGTCTCCTTAGAGAGAATACTGTGTAGTATTCCCTTAGTTCAGGGAATCCGTGGGTGCATCCAGCGTTTGTTTCATCACTTCATTAGTTCATTGTCCTGTAAGGTCAGCAACACTCTCTCCTTGGTCCCCAAGTCTTTACCGCTCTCTGTCTATTTTGTTCATTTATTTTATTCTTTCACTATCTCATCAATTTCTCATCTCTCTCCTACCTCTCCTTTGCCATTCTCTGTCTGCTGAGTTGGGACTCGCTGATCTTCCATTTATTCCTTTGTTCTAGGGCTCCTTAATTTTATTTAATTCACGCATAGCTTTTTATTTGTTGTTTCAGTGCCTCATCAGCTGTTTTTTTTCAGGGGCTTGTTTAACAATTCTGAGATTTAGTTAGTTTTTCACCATCTTATTTGCTCTTCACCTTGTGATTGAAAGCATGTACTCTTTACACTGTCCTGCCACTCTCAATACCTTGTGGCCTTGGGCAAGTGAGTCACTATCCCTCTGAGCCTCAGCTTCCCCATCTGTAAAGTGGGGCAATGATGGGTCCTAGTTCCTAGACTTGCCATAATGAGAATGAAATGCACCAGATGTTACTCCATGGATGACAGACTTGGAGGGATTTTCAGGGGTTCTCTGCCGTCCCAGGGCCTCTGTCTACCCTTCCACTCACTCCTTTCCATGCTTCCTGCAGGCGAAAGACAGTCACTGCCTGGGACACAGCCATTGCCCCCCTGGATGGCGAGGAGCTCATTGTGGAGGTCCTCGAAGATGTCCCACTGACCATGCACAATTTTGTGAGTGCAGGGTTGATAGTGGGGGCAGACCCTGGGTGTGGGAGGAGGGTTCTTGACCAGGCCTCAATCTTCCCTTCTCTGTGGCAGCAGGTACGGAAGACGTTCTTCAGCTTGGTGTTCTGTGACTTCTGCCTTAAGTTTCTGTTCCATGGCTTTCGCTGCCAAACCTGTGGCTACAAGTTCCACCAGCATTGTTCCTCTAAGGTCCCCACAGTCTGTGTTGACATGAGTACCAACTGCCGACAGTGAGCCTGGGCTGGGGTAGGTGGGGGGATGGGGAGGACAGATGCCCAGCCACAAGACTCTTATAGATAGCTGACCCTTGTCCCCTTGCTGTATACTCTTAATGCCCTCAAGGTTCTACCACAGTGTCCAGGATTTGTCCGGAGGCTCCAGACAGCATGAGGCTCCCTCAAACCGCCCTCCAAATGAGCCGCTAACCCCTCAAGGTTCCAGGTAGGGATGCCTAGGCTAAAGGGCTGCTATCCAGAGAAAAAGATCTGGAGACCTTTGTAGACCACAAGCCATTCTTTTTTTTACCAAGTACAAGTGAAAGTTTATTTAGAAAGTCACAGAGGTAGAAAAAGTGAGCCAGCTGGGCTGCGTGGTCTCAGGAAACAAGCACTCTAAAGACTGAGAGCATGCCCTGGGAAAAGAAGGGGTTGGGGAAAGGTGTGGGTGTGTGTGTATGAGAGACAAAGAGAAAGAGAGAGAGAACACCAATACCTACTACAAGCCATTCTTCATTCATTTACTTAACAAACATTTGTTGAGCACCTACAAGTATGAGTAAGGACATAGAGCTGTGGGACCTTGAACAAGTCATGTAATCTTTCTGGGCCTCAGTTTTCTCATCTGTAAAGAGGGGATAATGGTACTTTTTAGCACATAGGGTTCTGGCAAGGATTAAATGAATTAAGATGTGTCCAGTGTTTAGAAGAAGATCTGGTACAGAGTATAAGTTCTTATTAATTATGTCTATATATGTGTGTGTGTGTATCTCTCTATATATGCATCTAACTTCTAACTAGTTTATTCTTCCAGTATAATCATGCTCAAGCCTTTCCATTTTGAAATACATATTATTTTATTTTAAATTCCCTTTTATTTCTCCTTTATGTTAAGTCTTTTAATACTATAGTATTTCTATATTAAAATACATTATTGCTCTCATATATCAAAAGTTTATAACATGCATTTTATGTGTCTTATATATTTTATAATGTCTATATTTATATGGTATATGATAATGTATCATGTGTTAGATTTATAATTTTTAAAAAAGATTTTATTTGTTTTTAGAGCGAGGGGAAAGGAAGGAGAAAGAGAGGAAGTGAAACATCAGTGTGTGGTTGCCTCTTGCGCACCCCCTGGTGGGGACCTGGCACGTGCCCTGACTCCAAATTGAACTAGTGACCTTTTGGTTCACAGGCCATCACTCAATTCACTGATCCACACCAGCCAGGGCAGATTTATGATATTTTTATATAATGTAGAATATCATATATTTTAATATATAAAGTAATAAAGTTAGGGCATTATGTTATTTTTAATTATGGGTGTATGTGGATGAATTATGTATGAATTTCATTTCAGGATAGTTGAAGGGAACATGAAGAAATATTTTTGTGCTCTGGCCCGGTGGCTCAGTTGGTTAGAGCGTTGTTCCGTACACCAAAAAGGTTGTGGATTCGATCCCCGATCAGGGCACATATGGGAGGTAGCTGATTGATGTTTCTCTCCCTCACTGATGTTTCTCTCCCCCTCTCCCTCCCTTCTTCTTTCTCTTAAATCAATAAACATATCCATGGGTGAGGATTAAAAAATGCATAAATATTTTTGTAATATAATTTGTATGTACATGTAACATATAGCATATTATAATATATATTGAAATATTACCATTCTAATATAGATTATATATTATGTAATACATGATATATTTGAATAGTACATATAGTTATGAAGTATTATATATTAATCTTTCCCCCACTATCTGTGTGGCTCACTGTCCCTTCTTTAGGTCTTTCTTCAAATGTTACCTCCTTAGAGAAGCCCTTCCTGACATCTCCAGTGACACTTCCTGTCTCCTTATTTTGTTTTATTTTTTTCTTGTACCTATCACCATCAGACAGATTAAGTGTTCTTTGTTTTTTATTTTCTCTCTCCCTACTGGACCATCAGTCTCATGAGGGCAAAAACTTTTACTTGTTTTGCCTAGTTTTATTTTCACTGCCTAGCATGGTATCTGGCACATGGCAGGCACTCAATAAATGTTTTTTGAACAAATGAACAAAGCACTAACAGTGGACATTTACTCTGTGTGAGGTTAAGCACATGTTTACAATGGGGCAGGGTGGGGGTGCACTTGACTGGTTCGCCCACACATTTGACAATGATTTCACAGCCTTTCCCCTGGCAGCTCCTGCACTCAGCACCGAGACCCTGAGCGCTTCCCCTTTCCTGCCCCGACCAATGCCCCCCTCCAGCGCATTCGCTCTACGTCTACCCCCAACGTCCATATGGTCAGCACCACAACCCCCATGGACTCCAGCCTCATTCAGGTTGGTGTCAAGGGGGTCAGTCACAGGGGACCACCAAGCAGAGGGGAGAGCCATTCCTGTTGGCCTCCACATCCTCTCTCTGATCCCTGTCCCTCTTCTTCCAGCTCACTGCCCAGAGTTTCAGCACTGATGGTGAGTACCCACTGCCTGTGCCCTGAGCCCCACCTCCACCCTGCTTGCCTCCACTCACATCCTTTTCCCAACCACAGCTGCTGGTAGTAGAGGTGGTGGTGATGGAGCTCCCCGGGGGAGCCCCAGCCCAGCCAGTGTGTCCTCAGGGAGAAAGTCCCCACATTCCAAGTCCCCATCAGAACAGCGGGAGAGGAAGTCGTTGGCTGATGACAAGAAGAAAGTGGTAAGCTCCAGGGGGAACCTGTGGGGGGCACCACAGGCTGAGTGATAAGGGATGTGAGCAGGCCCCTGAGATGCCGCCCATGTGGCCCACAGAAGAATCTGGGGTACCGGGACTCAGGCTATTACTGGGAGGTGCCACCCAGTGAGGTGCAGCTGCTGAAGAGGATCGGGACGGGCTCGTTTGGCACCGTGTTTCGCGGGCGGTGGCATGGCGATGTGGCTGTGAAGGTGCTCAAGGTGGCCCAACCCACAGCTGAGCAGGCCCAGGCCTTCAAGAACGAGATGCAGGTGCTCAGGTGAGATTGCACATGTGTGTGGAAGTGGGGAGAGGGCAGTGGGCATGGCCTTAGTGCCTCCGGGGAAAGGCCACGTTCAGGCGCTTCTGCCCATCACATGTGTTTGTGTTGTTACAACCGTAAACATTAAGTTCTATCAAGAGTGTCCTTTTTCCCTCTTGGAAACAGGTATGTTTAGAGGACCTCTGATAATGTTTGTTTGTGTTTGTTATTGTTTGTGTTTGGGTTAATATTGACATTAATTAACCACTCTGGCTCCAAAATGTGGGGCTTGTTTGCCTGCTGTGAAATGGGTATGGCCGTAGGACATCACTGAGTGCACTTACATTAACAGCATAATGCTAGTTAACTGCATTGCCAGGAAGGCTTGCGTCCTTCCTTCTCCTCTGCTTGTACTGTGTCATTAGTATTACGTTTATTGTGTTGCATTCTTGTCCTTAATTAATTATAATAATTGCCATTGTTGAACAAACAGTATTACAGTTGACCCTTGAACAAAATCCACTTCTACATGGATTTCTTTCAATAATACTGTGAATGTATTTTCCTCATGATTTTCATAATAACATTTTCTCTAGCTTACTTTATTGTAAGAATACAGTATCTGATATATATGACATATAAAATATGTATTAATCAACTGTTTATGTTATTAATAAGGTTTCTGCTCAACAGTAGGCTATTAGTAGTTAAGTTTTAGGGGAGTTGAAAATTGTATGTGGATTTCAACTCTGGGGGATCGGGGCCCCTAACCCACGTGTTGCTCAAGGGTCAACTGTATTAATTATAATAATAACCATAATTTAATCATTGCTTAATTAATGATTGTGGTTGCTTTACTTAATATATCATTAATACTATATTAATTCATTTGTGCTGAGAAACCCTGGTGTTCCCTTTTTGCCACTCTTGATTACTACGACACCTGGGGTTTCCTCTCCTGACAGATGGGCACAATTATGTTACAGAGTTGATGTTATCATAACTCCTTGTGCTATTCTAATATTTATCCTCATAATGGATGCCACAGTAAGAAAACTTCTTTCTCTGTGAAATACCAATGATTGGAGCATGTTGTTAATTTGCATTATATTAATATTTCAACCATAATATAACTGCTATGAAGAATGCTTATGTGCTATTATCCACTCTGACATGGCAAAATTGCAGGGCATCATTGATGTTACAGTTGACCCTTGAACAATGTGGGGTAAGGGATGCCAGCTTCCCTGCACAGTCAAAAATTTGTGGGTAACTTTTGACTACCCCAAAACCTAGTTGTCCCTCAGTATCCATGGGGGTTGGTTCCAAAACCCACCCGCAGACACCAAAATTTGCAGATGTTCAGCTCTTGTATAAAATGGCATAGATCAGTGCATTGAGTCAGACCTCAATCCGCAGACTCCTAATCATAGATAGAAAACCATACAGGTATTTCTTGAAAAACATCCATGTACAAAAAGACCCATGCAGCTCAAACCCATGCTGTTCAAGAGTCAACTGTGTTTACATTGGTGTTAACCATAGTTGTAGTTAATACTTCTATAAGAAATGAAGGTTTTCATCCAAATTAGACCTCATCTATTCATACGTTACAGAGTTTCCATAAGGCAGAGCCAGGTACCTAGGAGCAATAAGAACAGGGACAGTGGAGTTTTCAGAGGGCTTGCTTATATTCAGTGCTGTTCTGTGTGCCTTACAGATTTTTAATCACTCCTGCCAATATTTCCATAAGATAGCTAATGTAATTATCACAGTTGAGGAAAATGAGACACAGGTTAAGTGTCCTCCCAAGATTGCAGTGAGGGTCTGGGGAAGCCTGGGTTGGAACATAGCATCTAACTTAAGTTCAAACCCCAAGTTCTTTACCTCTAAGCCTTTTGTGGTGACTAACAGGATATAATCACATCACCAATACTTTTACCTGGCATTTATCAATATTATACTAGATCAGTGTAATATTGATAAGTTGCCATTCTACTTTCTCATCTGTAAAATGGTCACAGGACCAGGTAATGGTCGGGGTCAGAGGTATGGCAGGTGTTTATGATTAAGACACTACTGGGCGACACAGGGTGGGGGCGGTAATCCGTCCCTGCTGCTTTTGGGAGACTGGGATGAAGAAGTTCAAAACATAAGCCACAGCTCCAAATCAGCCCAGCAAAGATATCTCACAGATGTATTGAATCTGGCTACAGTCTGGCCCTGAGCTTCCTGAAAGGCAAGGTAGAAATGATGACAGGAGGTGTCAGTGAACAGAGCCGTTCCTAATGCTCAGAAAGTGAGTGACAGTTGCTGTTTTCTCTCCCTGCCCTAATACCACCCTCCCTGCCTGCAGGAAGACACGTCATGTCAACATCTTGCTGTTCATGGGCTTCATGACCCGTCCAGGGTTCGCCATCATCACACAGTGGTGCGAGGGCTCCAGCCTCTACCACCATCTGCATGTGGCTGAAACACGCTTTGACATGGTCCAGCTCATTGATGTGGCCCGGCAGACTGCCCAGGGCATGGAGTGAGCCTCCTGGCCTGGGGACTAGGAAGGGGGCTAGGGGACCTGGGGGAGGGAGATGAGGTAGCCCCCATCCAATTTTCCACCTGCTTCCACCCCTACAGCTACCTCCATGCCAAGAACATCATCCACCGAGATCTCAAATCTAACAGTATCTACCTGTCACTGTCAAAGGGCTGGGGTGAGGTGAGGGACTTAGAGGGATGTCTCTTGGTGGGGGACTTCTGAGGACAAAGTGGAACGGGCACATGTCACCTGGTCCTTGTCAAGTGGCAGAGCTGTGGCTGGTGTGGAGCCTGTAATAGGGTCTCTTGGTCAGGAATCAGAGTTGTGGCTTGTTCAGGTGCTGTTCTTGGGGACTCTGGTCACAGCCTAAGGTGTGGCAGTTGTGGAAGGCATTAAAGAGAGTTCCTGATCGAGGTCATGGACATGGTGGGTATGGGTGCCCTTAGAGGGGCTTCCTGGTCAGGAGTCACAAGGAGGGCAAGTATAGGGGGCATTAATTGGAGCTCCCCACCCAAGTCAAGGTTGTAGTGGGTTTGTGTGACACTGGGGGACTTCTGGTCAGGGTTAGAGGCATGATTGATATGGGGCTGTTAATGAGAGCTTCCCAATGAGTGTGAGAGGCATGCCTATTGGGAGTCCTTGTAGTGGTCCTTAACCCCAGTGGACATCTTCCTACACGAGGGACTCACAGTGAAGATCGGTGACTTTGGCCTGGCCACAGTGAAGACACGGTGGAGCGGGGCTCAGCCCTTAGAGCAACCCTCAGGCTCTGTGCTGTGGATGGTGAGCAGGGCTAGGGTCTGGACCAGGGGCATATAGGGACATGGGCTGCAGGGCTGGGACATTGGGTGTGAAGTGGGGATGGGGATGCCTGTTTGCCTGGACTGTTCATGTTTAACCTCACATGGGTGGCTCTGAATTGTACCCTGTTTGGCTAGTGGGATCTGGGACTATGGGCTAGCCATTTGCTGACCTCCCTGGTTTCCCTGCCTGGTCTGGCCTATGAAGGCTGCTGAGGTGATCCGTATGCAGGACCCGAACCCCTACAGCTTCCAGTCAGATGTCTACGCCTATGGGGTTGTGCTATACGAGCTCATGACCGGCTCCTTGCCTTATAGCCACATTGGCAGTCGTGACCAGGTAAGCCATTCGCCTTACTGCAATCTCCCAGGCTAAGGGATCTCCTCAACCTCTAAACCCCAGATCTTCTTTGCACAGACCAAGAATGCCACACTTCTCCCAGAAACCCCACATTTTCTGGGTTTAGAGCTCCCAGAATTCTCTGGGTCTCCTATACCTAGAATCTCCTTTTTCCCCCACAGCCACAATCATCTAGGTCCTCAAAGTCCAGAATCTCCCTAGGCTCCCAAATATCCAGAAGCCCTCTGGACCCCTTGACAACTACCAGTCAGTCCTCTGGCCTGGGAACTCAAAATCCTGCAGATCCCTGAAGCCCAGAATCTGATTTCTCCCAGAAACAATCCCTTTGTGCTTCTGGAATACTCACAGATACCCACAATTATTCAGGCCTTGGGAATTTGGCAGGCTTTGGGACTCTGGCAGTCACAATAATCTAGGCCCCACTCTCTCACAGTTCTCCTGGTTCAAGGCCTGGAATCTCCCAGGACTTCAGAAACCAAGGATCCTCTAGACTCTGATACCAGTAGTCTCTACAGCACACAATGGACCCACCATCCTCAGGCCCCAGACCCCCACAGAAATACAAGCTCCAGAGGGCTAGAATCCTTTACCTCCCTTCTGACCCAGAAATTTAAATTTTCTACAGACCACAAGTCCCCTAGAAACGTATGGACCCATAATCCTTTGGGCTCCAGATATCTACAGTCCTTGATTTTCCCCAAGCTTAAATCCTGGTGTTCTGCAAGCAGAGAATCCTTCCAAGGTCTCAGATACCTAGAATTCTTGGATTCAGGAGATACCACAATCCTCAGAGCCCCATTACCCAGAATACCCCAATTCCTCAAAAGGAACCTTCCAAGTGTCTCGAAATCCCAAATTACCTGGACCCCCCAGCCCAAATCCTCAGATCATCCATTCCTGTCTCTCCTATCCCAGATTATCTTTATGGTGGGCCGTGGCTATCTGTCTCCAGACCTCAGCAAAATCTCCAGCAACTGCCCCAAGGCCATGCGGCGCCTGCTGTCCGACTGTCTCAAGTTCCAGCGGGAGGAGCGGCCCCTCTTCCCCCAGGTGGGTCCAGTAGCAGCGATGGATACCCTAGGGAGGGGACTCTGAGAAGGAAGACTCCAAGGTGTGAATGTGAACTGTGCCTGTTCAAGGCTCAGAGTTGTACAATGTGTGTGTATATGCTTCCCCATAAGGCTGGGGTCTGGTGGTGGTTGGGTTCCCATGTGGTCCTGGATACCCTTCTCATGTGACCCTGCCCCTAGATCCTGGCCACGATTGAGCTGCTGCAGCGGTCACTCCCCAAGATTGAGCGGAGTGCCTCTGAACCCTCCTTGCACCGCACCCAGGCTGATGAGTTACCTGCCTGTCTACTCAGCGCAGCCCGCCTTGTGCCTTAGGCCCCACCCCCAGCCACCAGGGAGCCAATCTCAGCCTTCCACACCAAGGAGCCCGCCCACCAACCAATCGATGTACCATCTCTGCCCTGATACAGCCCCTGGGAGGTGAGGGTGTCCCCTTGTGCTTTTCCAGTTTCTCTGGAATTGGGGGGCCCTCAAAGACAGATCATGGCCTCCATAGTTTGGTTTCTGCTTGCCTTTGGAGATACTTCTAAGTTTGTGAGCTCTTCCATCTCCAATGGCTGGGATTTATAGCAGGGATTCCACTCAGAACCTCTCTGAAATTTGTGCCTGACGTGCCTTCCACTGGATTTTGGGGTCCCCAGCACCCCATATGGATTTGGGGGTCCCTTCTCATCTCCCCCTGCCATTCAAGGACTCCCCTCTTTCTTCACCAAGAAGCACAGAATTATGCTGGGCCTTTGCTTGTTTATTTTGCTTCCCGACTCTTCTCATGGGGTTCAGAGCTGCTGAGGGGTGGGGGTAAGTCCAGGCAAGGAGTGGAGGTTGTGGGGAGGTGCGGACCACATGAACAGCGCCACTGCACGCATCACCACAGGCGGCACGATGAACGAGTACCACATATGCCAAGCACGGCACGAGAGGAGGCCACATCAGTCACAGACACAGACGTCACGCAAAGGTGGGGATGTGGAGGACCACTGGCCTTCCATGTGCAAAGGATTCTGGGAGATTGGGTGGAGTTTGCATATTTAAAGACAGCTGTCAAAGGCAGGAAAGTGGGGTAGGAGTCCCTGGAGAACTGAGGGGTCCTAGCAGTGGGAGGAGCTCCCAATGTATTGAATGGAGTTGGGGGGGAGGGGGATCCTTGGCTTGGGTGATGGCCTTTGAAGAGGTGGATCTCCAGAAATGGGAGATCTATGTAAGGGGGCTCAAAGGTAGGAGTTTCTTAATGATTTGGGAAATTTTGATGGGGAACAACATGTGCTTGAGAGAGCTGGGACCACGAGTATATTTCTCGCGAATTTCAGGTCTCTAGGAGGGGACTCCATGGTGTTAGGGCCAGAGTGGGTTGCCTGGTGTTTGGGAACGTCTGGGAATTTGGAGGTTCTAAAACTAAGAAGTAGGTCCTGAGGTGACCAGGAGTGGGCTTCCCAGGGACTTGGGAATTCCAAACATGAGAAACAAGTTTAGGACCAGGAGTGAAGTTTCTCTAAGGACTTGGGCATTCAGAGGAATGAGAAGAGGGATATTGGTGAACCAGGAGAGGGCTTCTCAGGGGAGTTGGAGATCTCAGAAGTGAGAAGTGGATTCAGGGCCCAGAGAGGGGTTGCCCAGGGATTTGGGGGGGTTCTCAGGGTAGGGTATCAGTCGGAGAAGAGGCTGGCGAAAGACTTCCTCAGGCTGCGGATGGTCTCAGCTTTCACCTCGTCCTGGCTAAGGCTGGGCCTGGGCGGGGCTGGCTCTGGAAGGTTGAAGGCATTGGTCAGAGACTGGGATTTGCTAGAGAGAAACAAGGTGGAGGCATGGGAGGAAGGGGGAAGAGGAAGGGAGGAGGGGGAGAGAAACACATCGTTACCCCAGGCCCGGCCCCAGCCCTGCCCCTCTGGTCCTGGGGCGTGCCTGTGACCCTCCCACCCATCAGCACAGGCCTGAACCCTGATGGATTCTCAAGTGGAAGTTGGGAAGCCAGGGTGGGAGCCCTTGGATCCAAGGTGAAGAAGTCTGGGATTAGTGGGAAGAGTCCTGGGCTGAATCTTTTCTTCAAATCTGGGCTAGGCTGGGAGGAGTGTGATAGAAAGGTGAGGATGGGCAGGCAGGTTTCCAGTCTCAAAGTGAAGCATCCAGGAGGGAAGTGGGGACAGCTTGGACCAAGGACAGGCTGGGAGGAGCAAATCAAAGGGGGAACAGTTGAATGGGGTAGCAAGGACTTTTGAGTTAATGTGGGGCAGGTCTGAAATGGATCAGAAGGGCAGACAGAATGGTGTGATGATTTTGGGAGGAGACTGAGATAGACCAGAAGGATTTGGGGATAGACCAGAAAGGAGCCTACACCAGTGATTTTCAACTGTGTGCTGCAAAAGGCATACTGGTGCGCCACAAGAATTTTTAAAACATACAGTACCTGACTATTTAATCAGGAGCAGTGACCTCTTTCCTCTTAGATTGTCAAGGTAAAAAATGACAACAGCCAGCACAAGAGTAGACATCCCATGTGAATGAATCAAAGTTATACCTATTTTTTTTGGTCAGATCAGCAAAAAATACAATGTTTGGTGTGCCTCACAATTTTAGTAATTAATTTATGTGTGCCATGAGATGAAAAGGGTTGAAATTCACTGGCCTAGGCTGTAGGAAAAGTATGAGGATGACTGGAAGGAGTGTGAAATGACATAGGAGGACTGAATTTGAGGGGGAGCAATTTGGAATGTTAGCTGGGAGGAGTCAGGGAGGATGAGTTTGGCAGGGAAAGCTCCAAGATGAGAGGAGGACTTGGTGGGTGGAGAGGTATGAAGGAGGGTCAGCAAGGTACCTGGGCTGGAGGAGGGGACTTTCCAGGGCCTATTGGGAGGACTCTGAAGTGAAATTGGGTTTTCTCTGGAATCAGACACCAAGTCTGGTATGGAGGGAAAAGGACCTGGGACAGAGGGCAAGAGCCTCTGTGGACTGAGAGGGGTGATAGTTTGTGGGAGGGGTCTGGCCCAGACTGGAGAGAGCTCTAGACCCCTGGATAGGATCTGGGTCTGAGGAACTTGGGAGCTGGGGCTGCCCTCCTTGTACAGGAGCATGTTTTGTGAGCACCAAGACAAGGGCTGCTGTGGGGTCCCCTTACTTGAGCTGGGGATGTGGGGGTCCCCCGACAGCAGTGGTGGCAGGTGGCGGCACATCCTGGCTAGGTTTCTGGGCCAGCTGTGGCTTGGTAGGACGTCCAGCAGGGCTGGGGCCACTGGGCCGTGGTTGCTGTGTGGTGGGTGGCCCAGTGCGGGGCATGGGACCCACTTGGCTGGCCTGGCGAGTGGGGCCAGCAGGGCCTGGCGGTTTCTGGGGTGGACCCTGGCGCTGCTGACCACCTGGTGGAGCCCCTGAGGCCTTCAGTGGAGCCTGACCAGAGACAGATGTTTGACGGGTAGCCTGTGGAGGGCCTGCCTGACGCTGGGGAGATGGGGAGGCAGGCGGGCGGGCTGATGGAGGTGCCCCAGGTCCTCCTGCCACTGGCCGGGATTGGCGGCCTTGACCCTGGGTCAGTGGTGGGGCCTGGGACACAGGCTGCTGGGGTGCTGATGTGGGACTTGGTAGGCGCTGGGGCAGGGGGCTGCCAGTTGGGGGTCCAAGGCCTGAAAGGTGTTGCTGGCCCTGTGGGGGTGGGCGCTGCTGCAACGGAGGTCCCTGGCGTTGTGGGCCTGGGCCCGGCTGTGGAGGGCCACCTGAGGGACAGAGAGAAAGAGTTCACATGTGAGAGCCAGCAAGTGACAGGTAGGGGGCCTGCCAGATGGCAGGTACCGGGGAGGCTGGCTCCTCACTTACCCTGTGGTGGGGGTCGTTGCTGAGCCAGGGGCCCAGAGGGCTGCTGTGAGGTCTGGCGGCCTGAGGGCAGGGCTCCTGGGGATGGAGCCTGCGGCAGAGGAGTGGAACAGGAGAGGTTAAAAATAGTTACCAGCCAGCGGAGCATCAGCCAATCAGAATAACACAGGTTCCCTGTATGCTGGGTGTTGTCTGTGTTTGTGGCTGAGCTGAGGGGATGTCAGGTTGCTGGGTGGGGACCCCCAGGGGAGGGGTCAGGAGGCACTCAGGGAAGTCAGGGTAGCAGCTATTTATCAATTTTTTAAAACAATTGCTTGATCGCCACCACATGTGTAATGGTGACACCCTTAGCCTGCTACTGATTAGCTAGCTCTGTGACACACAGCAGGACCAAGGGCTAGTCTGCCCACCACTAGCTGACCTGGCTGTGGGAGCCCCTGCCAGGAGAGGCATCCCGCTGCCGTGGCAAGGCCTGAGCCATCTTGTTGACCACGAGCTCTACAATGAGCTGCTTGTCTTCATCCTGGTGGTCACCAATGAGTGGCATGGAGGAGCCCACCACCTGGGGGAGGAAAATGGACTCAGTGAGGAGAGAGGCAGGAAGTGCACATGAGGATGAGTGACAAAATGCTTTAAGTTGGCAGAAGGCATGGTGGCTGCCAAGGAAACAAGCTTTAGTTTGAGAGGCACTGATTTGCACTATGAGGAAGGCTTATCTCCTACAAGGTACTGAACAGCTTTATGAGGTGGTAACAAATTAGGGCCTGTGGGCCAAATCCAATCCAGCACCTGTTTTTGTACAGCCCCCGAACTAAGGATAGCTTTTACATTTTTTAATGGTTAAAAAAACTCAAAAGATTTCATGACATGTGAAAATTATGTCGATAAACAAAGTTTTATTGGAACACAGCCACATTTTTAACATGTTGTCTGGCTACTTTTGCAGAATTGAGTACCTTCAATGATACTACACAGCCCGCAAAGCCTAAAATGTGCACTGTCTAGCCCTTGACAGAAAACACTTGCCAATCCCTGCTTTATAGTTTGCTAGGAGCTCTGTCCTTTATAAAGAACTTTGTGGTTTGTATGTTACTTCACAGTTTACAAAGTTCCTTGCCCTTCACAAAGGACTATGGGATATATGGTGTGTTTAGACTTCAGAAAGTGCTTTGGAAATGGCACCAGTGTATACAAAATGCTTTAACATGTAAGAAGTGCTGCTGTTTACAAAGCACTCTAAATTTTCAAGGCATTTTACAGTTCACAAATTGCTGCATTGTTTACCAGGGGCACGACTGTTTACCAAGAGCTTTAGAATTTTGCAAGTGTTTTGCTTCAATAACAAGGACTGCCCAGTTTACAGAGCTCCTTTTTATAGTGTTATAAAGCACTTTGCTATTCACCAAGAACATCCTACTTTATGAGGTACTTCATAGTACAGAATGCCTTAGTATCAACTAGTACTCTATAAAGTTCTTTGTAGTTTACAAAGTGTGTTTCTGTTTACCAAGGACCTGTCAGTTCACAGAACACTTTAAAAGTTAGTTCATAGAGCACTTTATAGTTTAAGAAGTGTTTTGCTATTCACTAAGGATGTTCAAGATCACAAAGTAGTTGAGAGTTTACTTAGAATTTTGCCATTTGACAGGGTGTCCCTGTTCACAAGCACTTTACAGGTTACTACGCATTTTGCCATTCACTGAGGACATTCTGGGCCATGGAGTGCTTCCTGTCGTGCACCTGCTCCTCCCTCTGTGCCCCAACCAATCCCTGGGTGCTCCCACCTCAATGATGTGATCCCTTCCGTCCTTGCCATGCAGCGCTTCCACTGCGCAGATGTCCAGTCCCCCAAAAATCTCTGAGCATGTATCCACCCACAGCTTGTACCTGGCCACACATGGGGCAAGAAAGCCTGTCAGTGCCTTGCCTGGTCAACCACACTCCCACCCTTAGTTCAAACCCCCATGAGTTCAGGCCACCCACCTGTCAGACATGGCAATCTGCTCAAGCATTGCAGAGCCAGTGTTGGTCTTCCAGTTTCCTGAAACTGATGTTCTCCTGGGAGACGAGAGAAGAGAGATTCTTGGGGATATGAACTGCATAGGGCAGAGCAGAGGACCCCTACCTAGACTTCAATTTCTCCACTCACATGTAGGCCTTGTAGTTCTGCCCAATCTTCTGGACGCGCACGTCATATTTGGCATCAATGAAGGGCTCAGCAGTGGCATATGTCTTGGTCAGTGCCACAACACTTGCAATGTCCTGGAAGTCATGCTGGTTGTCCACCTTGACCTGTGGGTGGGGTGGTGATCAGGGCCTTGGCTGGATGGGGCAGCAAATGAGGGCACCTCGGGGTGGGGGCATGCATCCAAATAACACTGGTGAGCTGAGTACACAAAAATTCAGTGCACATACCAAGGGACCCATGCATGCATAATTCTGAGCCTACTGGCTTTACATGTACACACAGACACAAAGTTGGGTGTATATGACCCTGAACATGCTAAAAACTATTCAATAGTCCACCTTAAATAGGTAAGTGGTATGGTATGTGAATTATATCTCAATAAAGCTGTGGAAAAACTGTATATACAGTATATGCATACAGACACAAAATCAATTGTATACATAGTATACAAACAGAAGCACAGACACACTCCAACATACAAATTACAAGTCTGCTTTCTACATATACAGAGACAAAATCGGATAGCATACAGGACCCCAAGACACCCTGAATGTAAAAGATTATGTAGTATGTGCAACACAGATGCATGCATATACACAGATACAATGTATACACTAACAAAATAACAGGACACAAAACTAGCTGACTGCATGACAGAAAATTGGGCCAACAAAATCTAAGAATATGAGGGAAAAGATACAAATAGATAAAAACACCACAGGATACACAATCATACAGAATTACTGGTGTGCGCTGAGTACACAATACACATCTACATACATAAGCACAATGCCAGGAGCATACACCATTTACAAACACCTTGGGACACACTCAACCTGGGGACTCACCTTGCCCATACCAGAGTGCGCATGCCCCATCTTCACAACCACAGGGTACGTTGTGCTGCTGAGCTGGTAGGGTGGAAAGCAGAGCATGGTCAGGGCAGGAGGGCTGATTGTCAGGGGTGGGGTGGTGCTGAGGGGAACCCATCCAGCAGGAGCCACATGAGGATCCCTTTCCCAGAAGAGGCAGGTCAGAGACAGGCAGACAGCAGCTGGGGGGTCACACAGCACCTCTGAGCTCATAATCGAACCCAGAGCCCTGTCTGCCTGTCCCTCCCTCCCCCACCCCCAGACTTCCTGCCCCTGCTTTCCCAGGAAGAGGCAAGGGTGGGGGCCTTTTCCGGAAAAGGGAAAGTTTGTTTATACAGTGACGATGATAGAAAAGTGATGTGTGCATGTGCGTGCATGGGGGTGTGGTGGTGAGCATGTAGCAACTGGGTCCCTCAGCCAGGCCTTGTATGTAAGCCTTGTCCATACACATTCACAACCTAGACACACACAAACCCTCAAAACTCAGATCTATACAACCAAGCCCAGACATGCCCACGCATGTTGAGGCCCATGAGATGGAGAGACCTGCAACCAACACTGGCTCCGGGGCACATCACACTCTCCAACTGCATAGTCACCCACAGTCATTTAGCTAGCCTGGAGTTCACAGTGTGGGGTGGGAGCCAACCAACATTTCTGGCCAGCCTCCTTGCCCAGCAGCACACACTCAACACTTTTGAGCAAAGACACACACACAGCCCCCTCCCATCATCCAAATCCACACAACAGTTAGAGGGACACACACAACACAGAATATTACATAATTAATACAAAGACAACCCTCAGGGCACAACAATAGAAGGCAGAGGCATACATGACCCTGAAAGGTACACACAACAGAACTGGGTACATAGTCAACAGACACACATGCAACACCCTTAGACATACCCACACAAACAGAGACACACACTTTTGGATACTCACAGAAACCACTGAGACCCGCACCACTCCTGAGCACACAAAAAGTATATCTAGGGACAGAACATGCCTCGCCATATGTACAAAAAGAGAGGCATGCACACAACCAGAGACACCACAACCCTCCTAAGCATACAGAAAACAGTCCTGGGTGTGTATACACACACTCACACACACACACACACACACACACACACACACACACACACAGAGTCTCATGCTCACACATTCAGGTGCAGGGATGCGTCAAGTTTCCCGATTCTGGGCAGAATCCAGGGGACCAAGTTGGATGACCCCAGCTCTATCATAGTATGGATGCACACAGGGCCACACCCTCCGTCTGCTGTGCAGACAGCTGCCCCACGGGGTAGAGAGATGGCATTCCCGGAGGGGTGGCTGAGACAGCAGTGGTTCCCAGTTCCCGACAGGCACAGGAAGCCCGCAAGCTCAGGGTGACCGATTGCCCTTCAGGCATCGCCCTCCCTCTGCACTCCCACCTTCCTCATTTCCCAAATGACTGGCGTCACTATGGGGCACTGAGAGAGGCACCGTGTTGGATGGGGGGTGGTGACAAGGATCCTGTAGACAGAGTTGCAGGGAAACACTGCAGAGGCGGCAGATGATGTAACACTCAGGCACACTCACAGCTCACAGAGAGGAGAAACATCCACAATTACATGTGCAACCTACCTGCTTTACAAAGGCAGACACACAATTGCCAGAAACAACACAAAACACTCAGGCCCACACATACACCATACACAACCTGAAAGGCATGCAGGCAACTCTCAGGGGCAGAGACCAGGAGAAAGCTAGAGAGCTGTGCAAGCACACACACAGACACAACAGATTTTCTAGGCTCCTCTTTTTATAAACCCTCCTTGTTTCCTCTGGGCCTGGGCCTGAATACAACACTGTGGACTTGTGTATGTGTGCCTGCACATGTGCGCATGAGTGGAGCTCTGCACTCTGGGATCCTCTGGAGAGACCTAGCTTTGAGTCTTGGCCTCTCCACTTCTTGAAACCATGTGGGACCCCAGGAAGTTTACTTAATACTCTCTGGACCTCAGTTTCCTGATCTGTACAAAGGACACAATCAGGCCCAAGCACTTGGTGTGCTGCAGAGATTGGTAGGTATCTGTTCTGCACACCAAGTCGGGCCCCATGGCTGCCCACCCTCAACTCACCCAGCTCCCCAGATGGTCACATACCCAGATGTTTTTCCATGAAACCCCACCAGTTTTTCAAAACCTGCACAATAACCTGGATCCACACAACCCCTCACACGTAGACAGTCAGCAAAACTCTGTGCTGACTCAGGTTTCAGCTGGCGTCAGAACCAGGGTCAGCGAGGGGCTGCATCAGGACTTTCCCTTCCCTCACTTCTCCCTTTGGCCCCCACCACTGACTTACTCAGCCCTTTGTCTCATTCACTCTCACTCCCCCACTTTCACAATCAGCTTCTCCAAATTCCTGGTTTACTGTCTTTTGCCCCCCCTCCCCTGTCCCTTTGTCTCCCCAACAGTGATTTCTTCACTCTCATTCCTGGGCAGGTCAGTCAATCCTTTGTCTCAGTTTCCTCATCTGCATAATCAGAATATGAACAGTCTCTAACTCACAGGGATATTGTGAGGGGCAGATTAGTTATGTCGGGGGGGAAAAATGCTAAGCACAATATCTGGAGCACAGGAAGTCTGCATCCTCCAAAAGTGTTAGGTACTATTATAATTATTGGTTTAACATCTCTTGGTTAGCCAACATTAACAAGGAAGCAATCTGGATTGACTGAGAAATGAACTAACAAAGATTTTAGAACAGTGCTTGATGTCCATTAAGCATTCCGTAAGTGCTGGTAATTTTTGTTGCGATGGTGTTGTTGATTGGGTTAACCTCCCTCAATTAATCCAGCTTAATTGGAAAGAGGGCAATGGAGAGTGAAGAAGAGAATTTACACAAAGACTTCAGGGCACAATACACAGTAAGTGCTCAGTAAGTGACTACTATCATCACTATCATCATTATTATTATTGGTCTGTCCTCCCTGATCAACTGAAGGACGTCAGTCAGCCCCCAGAGTCCTTTCCCAGGACCCTAGGGAAGATTCAGGTAGCATCTGGAAGCTGGCATGCAGGGACTGCCTCACCCCACCCCCTACCAGGGGCATGGTAGGGGAGGAGTTGGTGGGGAAGGGGCAGGACAGGATGGGAGGGTATCAGTTTTCTCCTGACTCACTGGTCTCTTTCGCCATCATTCAACTCCCCCTACCCCAATGCTCATTAATCCAACAGCACCTTTCCTAACGTGCCAAGCCTGGGTTAAGATCCCGAGGCCAGCTGGCATAAATTAAAATCCCAGCCATGCCCTGTGGTCCTGGGAAAGTTCTTCAATTCCTTTATGCCTCATATTTCCTCATCTGTAAAATGGGAAAAAAAACTGGTACTTATCTCAGAGGCTTATTATGACTTTTTTAAAAAATTGAATTAGAGTTGACATAAATATTATATTCGTTTGGGGTGTACAAAATGGTGGTTCAAAATTTTTACACATTATGAAACAATCACTGTGATGATTCTAGTTAACATTTGTCACCGTACAAACTTATTACAGTATTATCAACTATATTCCCTGTGCTATACATTGCATCTCCATGACTTATTTATTTATAACTGGAAGTCTGTACTTCTTAATCCCCTTCACCTATTTGACCCACCCCATTCACCCTCTGGCAACCACCAGTTTGTTCTCTGTATCTATGAGTATGTGTCTGTTTAGTTTGGTTTGGTTGGTGTTTTAGATTCCATATATAAGTGAAATCACATGGTATTTGTCTTTCTCTAGCTTATTTCACTTAGCATACTAGTCCCTAGATCCACCCATGTTGTTGCAAAAATTGTGACCTTTGTGAAATAAATTATGCTGAATGCCTGGTACACAGTTGGTGCTATATAAATGCTATTTGCCTGTGTTTTCCGAGCAGGGTTAAGATCCAGACTCTGGCTCCAGGCCACTGAGTTCAAATCCCAGTTGTGTCACTTATTGTGATCTTGAAAAAGTCAACTTAATCTCTCAGTGCCTCAGTTACCCCACATTGTATTCTTCCTCTGTTCACCTGCTTTATCTCCCTCCACTGCTTCTAATCAGTCTCCTCTCTGCCTCCCCACCCTTCATCCAGATGTCAGGGTTTACCAGACAGGAATTTCAGTGTGTGCTCGATATACAGTAGGTGCACAAGAAATGTTTTTTCACGAAATGAATTGATTTGGGCTTCCTCCATGGGGAGTTTTTGGGCGTGGGTGATTGGATAGACTATGGAGAGTTTGGAGACTTTAGGTAATTGCACTGGGGGAATCGTGACTTTAAAGCCCTCCATTGAAGCCGCCTGCAAGGACTGGGACCAGACTTGGAGATGGGGGAGGGAGATGACCAGGGCGAGGCCCAGGGGGAGGGAGAGAAGGCTGAAGCTTCTTTCGGCAGCCATCGTCCCGCCCCTTGGCCACCACTGACGGTGGGCGGATGAGTAATGCATCCAGGAAGCCTGGAGGCCTGTGGTTTCCGCACCGCTGCCACCCCCGCCCCTCGCGTGGACATTTATCCTCCGCCGCTCAGGCCCTGCCGCCATCACCGCAGACCCAGCGTCTAGAGAGGCTACACCAGAGGTAGGCAGGGGCCTGGGCGGCCTCAGGGCTGGGCTGGAATTCTGCTGTTGCAGGACATCTGGCTGGTCAGCCTAAAAGGCAGACACCAGTACCCTGGGCTGGTCAAGGGGGAGAGGCCAGGGTGGGGTTGGGGGTGGGGTGGGGCTGGAACTGCTCCAAACTCCTTCCAATCCCTAATATCCATTCCAACTCCCCCAAGCTCATGAGCCCTTAATACCACAGACGCTTCCTAAATGGCTTCCTCCCCTAAATTCCCTCATTGCCCCCCAGATCTCCTATACCCAAACCCCTGAAGCTCCCCCAACTCCCCAGCTCCACCAGATTCCTAAATCCTCAACTCTCTCGAAACCTCAAAACTTCCTCTGCTTCAAAATGCCTCTGAGATCCCCTCCTTAAGCTCCCAGTTCAACTCCTAAACCCCCAACCTCCTCCAAATTCCTCAGC